AACATAAAAATAACTATATTTTTTAATTTTTTTCTTTTAATGAATATATTTATATATATTGTCTTTTACGTTTTTGGTTATATTATAGATATTATTATTAAAAACAGAAAGCTCATATATTACAACGTTCAAAGAAAGAGTTGTAACTATAAACTGACGAAATTTAGAAAGCAATAATTTCAGAAATTTATTTGAAAATATTCAAATATTCAAAAAAAAACTTCAAGATTACATTGATTGTATTTTTTTATCGTTATAAATTGAAAATATTATTTCTTGTTGTCATTAAAGAATTTGAAAATAACGAAAAAAAAGAGAAAGAGTTAAAAATCTCTATTACACAAAACACACAAATATATATATATATGCATGTATATTATATTATATTTGTATATACATTTTACAACAGTGATGTATGAAAATTGTAAATGTATGATAATATAAAAAATGGAAGTAAAAAATTTTAAATCAGCGAATTGATGCTACTACGTTTTGATAGAACGACAGATTACTCGAGTACAAAGATGCTGACCTCCGAGAGGTCTGGTCGATTACATCAATGTGGCAACTCCAATGATGTTGTTCGACAAACGACTACATTGTATACTCGTATACCCTCGTTTCTTAGTTTCTTCATGCAATATATGTATAGAGGCTTTATATAGAGGAGCGTCGAGAATTTCAACTGCGATTTTTAACGAAGATATCAGTCGTAGAGAATACAAAAAAAAATCAGAATTTGTATAGAAACATTATACATAAGTATATTCCTCGTTATATAGCATAAAGTCTTGTTAAAGATTTTCGTTAACATGAATTATTTACATAAATTTCTGTATATTCTATATATTCTAAGTAATTCATATAAATTAATTGAACAGATAAAGAGTACTATACAGTTTTCATATTAAAAAAATGAATGTATGGTAGAGAACTTCTTAATGTTCCGAATATTTCTGAAGAAATACAAACAGTAAATTTAAAAATATATACAAATCTATGCGAACAGCTTGATTTTTTAATTAAAAGTAGATACAATGTATTGTGAGAAAATAAAGGATGTATCTGTAATTTCAATGTGAAGAAATAGTTATGTATCTACAATTTCATCGAAAAATCATATATTGTGGATATTTCATTATTCATTTTTTCTTTCTCCCTTCTCTCCCTCTTTTTCAAAAGACACATTAAAGTAATCTGAAATATTCTAATAACACGACAAAAGAGTTACACGAATATGTTTACTCTTATTCAATAAATCTTAAAACAGTAAATAAATATATACTTAAAGCATTTATCATCCCATGATAAAAAAAAAAATTCGTCATTTCGAATTGATTAGCAAGCCTCGGCGAAGAATGATACATTCTTCGGTTTCAATTAAACTTCATTAATTAAATTACGTCCATATCAGCTTTCAATGATACAAGACAACGCGAATCTCCTTTCCTCGTATAGGAAGGCGATACGGCGAGACAATTCTCACGAATGCTCGATTCAGCATGGGACTCACCTGCGCGCGAATGTCCTTCATCTTGGTACACGCGTTATCAACAATATTCCACGAATTCTGAATTCTGTACGTTGAACACGAGGCAGAGAGTGAGACCGGAACACGTCCGCGGCCGAGTGCTCGCACCAAATGACTAGGTGAGCCCGCGGATATGCGAAGTCGAGCTGTGCGACTTGTGCGAAGCGAGCGAGACGAGAGAGTCACGTCGTACCCGCTGGTATCCCGATGAACGAACGATCAGATTTTGGATTTTCCAAAAACTCCGAGAATTTATCACCTGATGAAAACAAAAAACAAGGAACCCTCGGCGATACGAGGCTATGAACATTTGTCTCAAGCATTCGTTCGTCATTCAGATAGCTGTATCTTCTTCGTGAAGATATTGCGTTGCAGTGCACGAAGATAATCACGTGCAGCACAGTAAAGTTAATTAACTTCAAACTAATTATTCACGCATCATTTCTGATACTTCACTCATCAAATCTAAATTAATCTCAAGTGCCTTCCGAACTTTATGAAGATATTTTATAAAAGAAAGGAATATTCTCGTTTAAATTAGTTTCTTAATTAAATTTATATTAGTTTCTTAATTAAATTTATTTATATCAATACATTAAATACATTCGATACGTTCACTGTACTTCATTATATTTTTAGTTAATGTATTGAGAATGTAAAAATTAATCTTAAATTATATATATCGTAATTATCATAAATATTAACTGTGAATAAAATTATTTTACGCCAATATAAGACGCAGTTTCTCTGTCATTATGAAAATGTAATTCGCGTACATGTGTACACATTTACACAATTTTTACGATAATTAGAAAAGTTATAGCATTATTTATTACAGTTATTAAAACGAGATGACATGACACAATCGTACAATAAATTATTAAAGTAAGATAACTAATGTTTAAAAAACAAAACAGTGTCTGTGTTATTCTTTCATTCTTTTTTTAATCTTAATTATACGCGCGTAAGTAATGTATATTATAGATTTTTGTACTATGAATCTACACTCTTTCAGTATTATTTGTGAATCCAATTATACGCGTTAACAAACAATTTCATGATATAATAATCTCGAAAATGAATGTAACGTTAACTACACGGCTCTTCGCTTATTTCGTAAGCTTCTGCTTGTAAGCTCGTTTCAGAGTTTCAGTACGATGTCCTCTTCGCACGGCTCATGGTCAGTCGAAAACTCGGCCGTTCGTAATGAATGTCCAGGAAGTAAAGTTTCAAGAGTCAACCTTTTACAGGCTGCTTCAAAATCAATGCGCCTTAAAAACGTATTTCTTTAGAGATATATACGCTGACTAAATAGACTATCAATAAAATAAATAAATATCTTTTATTATACCTTTCGATTTCATTTTCCGCTTTTGCTTTATTTATATATTAATTAAAAAAAATATTACATACATAGATGTATACATACTACACATGTGCTAATATAAAAAAAATTTTATTCATCATGTAATGTATATAATAACATTATGTTTTTAATTGTAGGATATTATACGTATGTACGTATGAAAGAACATACTATCATGTTTTATTATACTACCGTAAGAGACGTATGTCATAATGTGTAACACGTTCCTTTTCGTATATTTATTTTCATAGAATGAACAAAAAGATAAAATAAAATAATTGAACAGGTAAGAGAACTATTATTATTTGAAAACTAGTTTCCTTTATTATAATCGTGATAAAGGAAACTAGTTTAAAAATAACATTTCTCTTTATCTATTATTATAATATGTTTAACGGCGCGATAATTTATATGCTACTCACGTGTCCCATCTCCGTTTGGACGATCCTGTAGAAAGAAGCAGCTAACCGAGCTAACGGCGAATAATTCCGCGCACTTCGCTTGCGTGGGCTCGCTAATTTACACGAGCAGACGACATGGATTTATTGAAGCCAAATTTCTCTAAATTCTAAAGAAAATTTTCTTTCCGGCGGAAAGCGCAAAAATTTACGTTCTTATTCTTTCGTGTCTAGCCTTAATAAATAACGTACTGTATCTAGTCTCTTTTCCCACAAATTGGTTTTATTCTCTTGATTTGTCTACGAACGGTTTCGTTTTTTCATTCCCCCCTTTCGAATTTCTCTCTTTTTGATCTCATCTCGTAGAAAATTCATACATATGACGGAGCAACGCTTTAGATATTATTAATATTATTAATTTTTTTTATTCAAAGAATTGCCACTTTTTAAAGCACAAAGTAAAGAAATTTTGTTCGTAAATTACAAATTGATAGATTAAGTATTTAAGATAAGCTATTTGATTAAACGCACATATTTGTGTTAGAGATAAATATACAACTAAGTGACAATTAATATAAATGTAATGAAGATGAGTAAAATATTCGTAATAAACTTATCACTGAACTAGTGCAGTTGAGCGAAGATCAAAAGCCTGGGAATCCCAGGATATAGTGAATTATTTCTACGTTGATTTGTTTGCAATCACAATCATAGAAGGAAAGATCGTTGTTACCATTATTGAAAGTTGTATTGATTTCAGCGGCCCCACATCATCTTATCATCTGCAAGATTCGAAATCAATGAAATAACGCGTGCAAATCAACTTATTCGCAATCTTCCTGCTTTACGATCAAGAGAAACGAGCGTACTTCGTCTGAGATTAAAAAGTTCGTCGTCGTCGTCGACGGCGTCGTCGTCGTCGTCGTCGTCGACGGGATGAAGTCCCGGTGGATATTCAGGAGTACAACGCGAGAGCGCTATTTGACAGTGAGCCAAGCCGGCTCGGTTTCTTTTTATACCGTACGGTTTAGCTACGGCATTATTGCGCTATTACTGCCGGGTGTTGGGCATTGTTGAAGCAGTTTGGCGGAGAGGAGAAAAGGTAACTCCGGCAAATGAGACCGTTGTCCACCGGTCCGCGCTGTACGGTAACTTTGGTCCGCTCGTCGGATGAAAATCCGGATAACTTCGTCGCGTGTGTGTATACGTTTGCAGTATAACATCTTGGTTCGCTGCCAGGTATGTACTCTTTACAGCCTTAATTCGACCCGAATTAATTGTAGCCGCCGCGCGGCACCGCGTCGTAAACATTTGCTGCCGAGAACAGCGGAGTACCGGCATTAATTGCTCGCGCGTGTACTTGCATAGATAGAGAAGTGTTGCGCGTGTTTACCGATCAAATACGACGCGTGAAAACGGAAAAAAACGCCCGCGCTTTTATTAAATGCGTAGCAACGTTGAGGGAGAGCGTCATTAGAGTCTGTGAAATTAAAAAAAAAAAAAAAAATACGCAGACCATTTTTTACTATCTTCCACCTTTAAGAATAATTATAGCAAACTATACTCTCTCTTAAGAAAATATATTCGCGCGCTATTCATTTATCACACTTTTAATATTGTACTTATTATTGTATTATTCTACTTTTTTCACTTTATCCTTGTAACTTCGCGTTCATATTCTCATTATATGACTGTAGAGAAAAGGAGGCATAGAATTGGATGGCCAGGCAAGAAATATAAATTCATAAATATTCGGGTAAATCTAAATCCAAAATATATTTCAATATACCACTGAAAGCGTTATCTGTGTAAGCAAATAATAAACACGGGTACTTTCGATCGATATCGGATTAAATATGATAAGAGTACCTATAAACGAGAATAATACTATTTACGTTCAATACGGAGACAATTTGGATCTTGTATACGCGATGTCCAATTTTGAACAAAATTGATGTGACTATGTTAGATTATAATTTTTACATATATGTCGATTAAAAATTAAATATATCTCGAATACACACAATGGTAAAACACGGGAGTTCTACTTAAGCTTTTGCGTGCGCCTATGGGGAGATCACCATATATACGTTCGTGTATATATAAAATTGCAAGATGATTATTTACAGGCGTAAAAATTGTTTCTTGGCCGCGACAATTCTGCGTATAAATTCTATGTTTCCGTCCAATATTTCGCCATATTTAAAATTTCTGTTATTTATTTCGTACAGTGTGGTTTAAATGGAAAAAAAAAAAAAAAAAAAAA